TTTCCAGGCCGGCAAGTGGCATGTTGGTTAAGGGTGTTGGATTCCCACATGACCAACCATGGTTTGAGTCCTGGACCAGGCAACTTGCTTTCTCACTTTCTCTCTCTCTCTCTGTCTCTAGTCAGATTAGAATAGATAAGTAAATAAATAAAAATAATTTTTAAAAACTTCTAAAAAAAAAGTTTGGTTGTTTCTCATCTGAGGCAACTACATATAATACCACTTTAGACATTCTTGGATTTGTTTATTGGTATAGGCATTTCTGTTGGACTGTATGAAAGTATCATTTTTGTGATGTAGACATCAAATATTAGCGATTTCATTTGGATCAATCTAATACTAAGGAGTAGAATTAGATCACAGGAAATATATATGTTCAGTTTTAGTAGATTCTGCTAGATAGTCTTGTAAAGCTCTTGTATCAACTTAAACTTCCTGCCAGTGATGTATAATTGTTGCTCTATATTATTTTTTTAAAGAATTATTTTTTAGGGACCAGCAGTTAGCGTAATGGCAATGTCGCTGTACTCCCATGTAGTCTACTGTGATTTGAGTCCCGGACCTGGTGGCTTAAACTCACGCCGGGTGCGTGTGCGTGCATGTCCAAGACCCTGAGAGGAGAATGGAGGAGAAGGGGTTGTGGCATGGCCATCCCCCCTGGGGGGTGATTTCTCTCTTTCTGTCTCTGTCTTTCTGGCAAACGCACGCTCCATATAGCAAAAAAAAAAACCTCTCAAAAAATTATTTTTTGTTTAATTTCATTTATTTTTTCATTTATTTTAATTTGACCAGAGAGAGACACACACACACACACACACAGATAGAGGACAGGAAGCCACCTTTCCTCAAGGTCCAGGACTTGAGCTGTGGTCAGCCATGTGGGAGTGTCCAGCACCTTAACCACCATGCCATCTGCTGGTCCCTTGTTCTATATTTCTTGATAATGTTTGGTATTACAATTTTTCATTATAAATTTAACTTGTATTTCCTGGTTCCTAGTGAGATTAAGCACTTAAGCTGTTTTGTTTTATTGTTTTTACATTGAGATTCCTAACCCATAGAAAGAAACTTAAATATTTTTCATCTTAGTGCTGGCAGGTGGTATGATGTGGTTAAGGCACAGGACTCCCCCACATGGCTGACTGTGGTTTGAGTTCCAGACTTGTAGCTTGCTCTATCTTGGTCTCTTTCTCTCTGGTCAAGTTGAATAATAATGAAATTAGATGAATAATAATTTTTTTTGAGAGGTTTTTGCTATAGGGTGCGTGCGCTCACCATAAAGACAGAGAGAGACAGAGAGACAGAAAGCGAGAAATCACCCCCCAGGGGGAAGGCCACGCCACAATCCCTTCTCCTCCATTCTCCTCTCAGGATCTTGGGCACGCACACACTCAAGCCCAGCATGAGTTTAAGCCACCGGTCCGGGACTTGAACCACGGTTGGCTACATGGGAGTCCAGTGACATAGCCATTACGCTAACTGCTAGTCCCAGATGAGTAATTCTTAAAAATAATTTTTAAAAACAGCTTTAAGAAATATTTTTCAGCTTAGTAAAATTTTCAGTTAGTGGAAAGAGTTTACTTTGATAGTCTTGTTCCATTGAAACTGGAGGCTAAAGTAGACAGTCCAAGGCATGTAGACTGCATTATACCACAGGGTGATCCGGGAACCCAGTTTCCTCTTTCATGTTCCACCTTGAGGCTTCATTGACATTAAGCCACGAATCCCTCCTTGATGGTTAAATGTTTGCACGTATTTTCATCCATTCTGTAGTTCATTTTTTCATACTCTTATAGGTGTCTTTAGATGAACAGATATTTTCAATTTCAGTGTAGTAACATTTATCCATCATTTCTTCTTACAATTAGTATTTTTAATGTCTCATCTAAACTCTTTCACCTTAAGATCTTAAAGATATTCTCCCATATTATCTTTTTTTTTTTTTTTTTTTTTTTTTTAAGGTGTTTGCCATAGGGTGCATAAACTCACTGGAAAAAGAGAGAAACAGTGAGAGGGAAAGTGAGAAATCATCTCCCCATGGGAGATGGTCATACCATAATCCCTGCTTCTTTTTTCTCCTCCCAGGATATTGGGCATGCATGCACACATGCCCAGCATGATTTTCAAACCACCAGGGTTGGAACTTGAACTACAGTCAGCTATGTGGAAGTTTAGCACCCTAACCATCACCCCACCTGCTGATTTCTCTGCCATGTTATCTTAGAAGGGCTTTATTGTTTTGCCTTTCACTCTGAGGTCTCTAATCCATCCAAAGTTGATTTTTATGTATAGAATGAGGTTGAGATCCAATTTCATGTTTCTCGTAATGGCTATCCTGTTGTCTCAGCATCATCCTCTTTCCCACTTTGTGGTATAATTTCCGTCATACATCAGGGTCTAGGGCTAGCTGGTGGCGTGGTGATTAAGATGGCTGGATATCACATGACCAACGATGCAGTTTGAGTCCTGGGCCCAACAGCTTGAGAAACACACTAGGCATGTGTGTGTGCATGTTTCTTCCCTTTCTCTCTGTATCTCTCTCCAGTGAGCGTATGTGCCCTCTAGGAATTTTTTTTTTTTAGAGTTTTTGCCTTAGGGTGTGTGGGCTCACAAGAGAGAGAGAGAGGGGGAGAGAGAGAGAAAAAAGACAGACAGACACAGACAGACAGACAAAAACAGTGAGAGGGAAAGTGAAAAATCACCCTCCAGGGACAATGGCCATGCTGCAATCCCTTCTCTTCCATTATTCTCCCGGGATCTTGGGCATGTACACACATGTGCCCACATGAGTTTCAATCCACCAGGTTTGGCACTTGAACAGCAGTTGGCCATGTGGGAGTCTAGTGACATAACTGCTATGTCATCTGCCAGCCCCTCTAGCAAATATTTTTAAAAGACTAAAAAGAGCCTTTTGGAAAAAGGAGAAAATGCCCATATGTACCTGCATCTGTTCTATGCTCTCTATTCTGTTTCATTTGTCTGTAGATCTATACCTGCCCTAATATCCCACTGTCTTAATTACTATAGCTTTATAGTAAATAAGTTTCCAACCTGTTCTTCTTCAAGAGTGCTTTGGCTATTCTTGTCCTGCATTTCCATATACATTTTAGAATTAGCTTTTCAATTTTCAAAAGAGTTTGTTGGACAACCAGCAGATGGCATAATGGTTACATCGCTGGACTCCCATGTAGTCGAACACAGTTTGAGTCCTGAACCTGGCAGCTTAAAACTCACGCCAGGAACATGTTTGTGCATGCCCCAAATCATTATTTTTTTCCTTACATTTTATTTTCTTTTTTTGGAGAAGTTAAATACAATATGACACACAAATTCAAGCACTTACATAATTTTAAAACTTTTAGCAACTACATTATAAAAACAAGAAGTCACTAGGTGAAATTAATTTTAATAATATATTTATACAAACCAACATATAGGGATCAGCAGATAGTGTAATGTTACAATGCTGAATTCCCATATAGTCGACTGTAGTTCAAGTTCCAGACCTGCCAGCTTAAACTCACGCTGGGCACGTGTGCATGCTTACTCAAAATCTTGATAGGAGAAGGGGTTGCAGCATGGCCATCCCCTCGGAGTGGGGGCGGATTTCTTGCTTTCTGTCTCTCTGTCTCTCCAGTGAGTGCATGTGCCCTATAGCAAAATTTCTTTTTCCTTTTCTTATTTTTTTTGGAGAGGTTTTTGCTATAGGGCGCGTGCGCTTGCCAGACAGAGAGAGACAGAGAGACAGAAAGTGAGAAATCACCCCCCAGGGGGGTTGGCCACACCGCAATCCCTTCTCCTCCATTCTCCTCTCAGGATCTTGGGCACACACGCAGACATGCCCGGCATGAGTTTTAAGCCACCGGTTCTGGGACACGAACCACGGTCGACTACATGGGAGTCCAACGACATAGCCATTATGCTAACTGCTGGTTCCACAAAATTTATTTCTTTTAAAAAAAAAAAAGAGTTGGTATTTTGACTGAGATTGTGATTATAGTTAGAAAGAATTTTTAACCTCAAAAGGATCCTGCAGGCTGTGTGGCATTTCCATTGGATCAGCAAACTTTCTGAGAAACACCCTATCAGCATTGTTTTAAGTGAAATGTATTAATATTCTCTTATGAGCACCAGTAATATTCTGGCATAACCATGTTGTGAACAACTGGATGACTAGTTTTGCTAATATTATGTATTTTTTGTAATCTTCTTCATTTCTGCAGTTCTTGTAACACAGTTTTTGCATCAGGGAGAATACTAATGTCTCTGTCAGATCTGTTAAATTTTTAGAGACAGTATGCCTGATATTTCTGTACCACCTTGGCAGTGTAGTATAATCTGCCATAGTTTGTCTGGAGAGTGAGAGCTTCCTTACATATTAGTATCTGTGCTTAATCATACCCCTTCTCCCATTTTTAAAATTTTCCAGAGAAAGACAGGGATACAGGTGAAGGGAGAAAGCACTTCTGAATGGGATGTGGTCATGCCACAAGCCCTTCCCCATTTCTCTATCCTGTTGGGATATTTGGCATACAGGCTCACATTACCACCATGTTTTTCAAGTCGCTAGAGCTGGGATTTGAATCACTTGGTTGGCCGTGTGAGATTTGGCTCCCTTAACCACTAGACTTTGGGGCTGGCCCAGTCATGCCCTTTCAGTCTCTGGACTAAGGGGTGATAGGTTGGAATGGGGAGCAATAGTGAACAAAAGGAGATAGATGTTCCAGAGGTAGGCTGTGGACAGAAGGACTTAACCTAAACTAGAGTCAGACCTAACAAAGTTCACACTCACATATATTTGCTGGGTGAGTATCTGCGCCCCCTTCCAGGAGGAGCCTGAACAACACACTTAGTGGAGAGAACACAGGTAGCACAGTCTGAGGACTTGGGTGTTTGTTCCTCCACAACCCTGTGGGAATTCTTAGGACTGCAGTTGATGTTCCCTACCCTGAGAAGACCTTCCAAGTGACTGATGAAAAGCTGGCCTTTCTCCATTTTAGATTGACATCAGCAAATGCCATTATTTAGTGGATTTGGACACCATGCACGAAACACCCCGGGAGCCGAAATATTCATCCAATAGAGAAGAATGGGTCAGCTTGGCCTACCGACCATTTCTCGATGCTTCTAGGTATGTGGCTTTAATCCTAAGGGATGTACTAGGACGAGAAAGAGGGAAAATGGATTCTAAGACTGAATAATTTTCAATCTTGGATTGTTCCTATTAGCTATTGTTTTCCTTTTATTTGGGCTTGACACATCTGTTTTTGCCCAGTTTCCTGAGAAATCTAAAAAGATGCTCTTCTTTTTGAGGCTGCAGGATGTAAATGTCTTCTTATATCATTCAGGTGAAAAGATCTAAGTAAAATAAATAGGTCAACTGAAGAAAGCTCAACTGATATTTGACCTTGATTATTTTTGGCAACTAGCTTTCACTGTCTTAACTGACAGTATTAGGATCAAGGCTTGGCCAGAGTTGACACAGGCCTTACTAGATCTTTCGTAGAGAGACCATATTGGCTGGCTATTCAGAAAGTCTCAGGATTAATGATAAGAGGTGATCAGGACATTCAGGTGAAGGAGTGTTGGGGAGTATGAGCTGGAGGGTCAGGGTGTCAGTGTGCAGAGTCAGATAAACAGACAGATGGAGTTAAGAAGTCCAGGGAGGGAGCTGGCAGGCAGCATGGTGATGAAGGGCGCTGGACTCCCACCATGACTGACTGTGGTCCGAGTCCCGAACCTGGCGGCTTGCTTTCTCACTTTCCCTCTCTCTCTCTTTCTCTCTCTGTCCTTCTCTGATCAAATTAAAGTAAATGAATGAATGAATGAAACAAAAATAATTCTTTAAAAAAAATGTCCAGAGAGGTTTGGTGGACAGAGCCTCCATGTCATCTGCTGGCCACCCTTCTACCCCTTGTCTTTTCTTTGGTGAGGGGTTTGTTAAGCACTTCGATTCTCTTTTTAGTTGGATTTTTAATTATGCTGATTTCCTTTACATTTACCTTCCTCAGCATTTCCTAGTATTTATTGATCTAACTGCAAAAGCAGCAGGATCCTACAGCCCACTTTGCCACAGCAGTTTGTGTATGTCAGCACCGTGACAGTGATGTTGCTGACTTGGGGCCAGTTGAATTAGACTGTACTGTCAGAGTCTGTGCACCTCAGAGCTGTCATTCTGAGGGGGTGCATGAAATGCTTTTGGGAGCAGAATCTCGGAATGCCTGCCAGCCTATTCATGAGGGCTGTTATATTTCCTCTGTCTTATAAAAACAATGGTATTTGTATTTTAGCAATTTATGTAACAGGAAGAAAGAACTGTCTTATCCAGATGTAATAGTCATTCATGTATTAGGCTCTAGATCTGTTGAGGCTGTGGCCCTGGCTGTACTCTAGCTCTTTCTGAAGAATAAGGAAACTTGTCCCAAAAAATAAGATGGAAGAATGAAGCATATAGATAACAGTTTCATGTTTACCATATTTGCCTATAGTTTACTTATTTCATTTAATTTGCTGACATTGCTTCTTCTTGTAGTCTAGATTGAGACTCAGCTGTCTAAAAGGGAAGTAATTAAGATAGTTTGAAGAAAGGACTAGCATGGGGCTGGCAGGTGGCATAGTGGTTAAGGGCACTGGACTCCCACATGGCTGACTGCAGTTTGAATCCTGGACCTGGTAACTTGCTTTCTCTCTCTCTCTGTCCCTGTCCCTCTCTGGTCAAATTTAAATAAATAAATAAAGTTAAATAAAATAATTTTTTTTTTTTTTGTAGAGGGTTTTGCTATAGGGTGCGTACGCTCGCCAGATAGAGAGAGAGAGCTAGAAAGTGAGAAATCATCCCCCAGAGGGGATGGCCATGCCACAATCCCTTCTCCTCCTTTCTTCTCTTGGGATCTTGGGCACGCACACACACGTGCCTGGCATTTAATTTAAGCCATCGAGTCGGGGATTTGAACCGTGGTCGACTACATGGGAGTTCAGCAACATAGCCATTACGCTAACTGCGGTCCCAATAAAATAATTCTTAAAAAAAAAAAAAAAAAAGGACTAGCACTTGAAAGAAAAAATTAATGTCCTTTGTCATTGCAATTTCTATTCCAGGGAGAAGTGAAGATTATTAGGACAGTTTTGTGATAGGACAGTTTTAGGAATTCTGAACTTCTTTTTTTTTTTTTTTTTCTTTTTTGGAGAGGTTTTTGCTATAGGGCGCATGTGCTTGCCAGACAGACAGAGAGAGACAGAGAGACAGAAAGCAAGAAATCACCCCCCCAGGGGGGATGGCCACGCCACAATCCCTTCTCCTCCATTCTCCTCTCGGGATCTTGGGCACGCACGCACACGTGCCCGGCGTGAGTTTAAGTGGGTTCGGGACTCAAACTATGGTCGACTACATGGGAGTCCAGCGACATAGCCATTACACTAACTGCTGGTCCCAGGAATTCTGAACTTCTTCAGATATGTGAAGAAGCTTGTTTCTGTTGAAATTATTGCAGGATAAGCAAGGTCTTTGCTGTTCGACCCTAGAGAAGTACTCACTATATTGGGCTCCATAGTGTAGGTCATTTGGTTGCTCACTAATGTCAATGTTCTTCCTTAATTGGCATCTCCTCAGCTTTATCAGAAACCTAAAGGCCCCAGACCCTGTTAGTATAAGAGCAGATCTAGGCTTAGGATCATAATGACCGTTGTCCAGTCTCCCCCACACAGTGCTGGTAGCTGAGCTGTAATTTCTCCTTTCTGACTTTGCCAGTCTGTGTCTGGCTACTCTTATAAAGGTTTATCAGACTCCCAGGATATGGCATCTAAACTAGCTGACAGTATTTCTTTTCATACCAGACACATTTGTCATTCTCTGGCCATCTCATATTGTATACTTTCTAAAATAAGAGAGGTTTTTTTCTTTCTTTCTTTGAAGCATGATATAATTGCTACTTATATAAAATAGCTCGACAAGTGGGCGGATGTAATGCCTACTCTGAAATTCCCCAGAAAGGAGTGAAGAGAGAATGTTGCAATAGATTACCAGCTCAATGGTGGGTTCCTTTCTCAGTGTGGTGAGAGTGTTTAGCTGTGGGAGTCTGGTGGGAAATGCCTCTGCAGGATGTTGGAGCTGGCCTCCTAAGCAGCCGAGCCTGTTTGTATCTTTGGAAAACCAGTTGGGAGGCCTCACCACTGCTGGTACAGCCACTCTCCACCCGCTCTTTCCTCCTTCATTTTAGGTCCCTTTTGTCTTACTTGCTTTGCTTTTACCTTTGGTTTTCGTATTATGAGATTTTATTCTTTCATCTAACTGAATTTTAGGCTTGCCTGATTAGGGGCTTAAGACAATTTGGGGAACTAAAGACAGGGTTTTAAAGTCCTGGAAATTCCTAATTATAGGTGAAGAGTAGATGCAAGTGAGGAGTTAGAAGTTAGACCTTCAGCTGATATAGTAGGGAGAGGGTCCTTTTCTAGTCAAGTGACCTCTGCAGCATCCAGGGGAGGACTCTGCTGTTTTTTCTTTCTGTTTGTTTGTTTTGTTTTAAGAATTATTTGTTTACTTTTATTCATTATCATTCTTCAATTTGAGCAGAGAGAGAGAGAAAGTAAGCTGCCATGTTTGGAACTCGAACCACTGTCGGCCATATGGAAGTCCAGTGTCCTCACCATCACATTACCTGCTAGCCCCAGAGGATCCTACTGTTATATAGAATATGCTGCTTATGCTCTTTCAGTGACTAGCACAGACACTTAGCTGCCACTATTGCTGCTCTGTGGAATTTTATTAAGACCATGGCTTTTCTTTCACTCTCTAAGAAGTAGGCAGCTGTGAGACCTAAAGAGTTCATGACACTTGGGGGAAACCAGCAGTTAGCGTCATGGCTATGTCGCTGAACTCCCACGTAGTCGACTGCGGTTTGCGTCCCAGACCTGGTGGCTTAAAACTCACACCGGGCACTTGTGCGTGCATGCCCAAGATCCCGAGAGGAGAATGGAGGAGAAGGGATTGCAGCGTGACTATCCCCCCTGGGGGGTGATTTCTTGCTTTCTGTCTCTCTGTCTCTCTCTGTCTGTCTGGCGAGCGCACACGCTCTATAGCAAAAACCTCTCCAAAAAAAAAAAGAGTTCATGACACTTGCATCCATTTATGTCCTATGTGGTACGGTCATCTGATTGATGGGAGCCATTGCCCACCCCTGTGTCCCCGCCCACTAGTTCCAACATAAGCAGACTTTCTAATTTCTGGAAGATAGTAAGACCATTAGAGTAATCACTGTAAAGGACAAGTTAGTCGTAAGCTTTTTTGTTCCTATTATTGCTGTGTAACAATCACTCAGACTTCGCAGTGTAAAGTGACAGCACTTCATTGTTTCTCTCATGGTTCTAGGGTTAACTGAGTTCAACTAGCTGGTTCTTACTCAGGGTCTTTGTGCACTGGCCATCAGTTGGTGGCTGGGGCTGCAGTCATCACAAAGGCTTTTTTACCCACAGCCTAACAGCTGATGCTGGCTGTTGGCTGGATCTCAGATGGGGCTGATGGCCAGAGCTTCCTCATTAGGCTTCTCCATGGAGCCTGGGCTTCCCTACAGCATGGTGGCCGACTTTTAGGGGTAAGGATCTCAAGAACGGAAATTTTGTGTGTGTGTGTGTGTGTGTGTGTGTGTGTGTGTGTGTGTGTGACTTATCCTTGGAAGTCATGCAGCAGTGCTTCTACGTCATCCTATTGGTTGTATGCAAATCACATGAGTAGCCCAGACCCGAGGGGGAGAGGAATTAGACTTCCCCTGTTGATGGGAGGAATGTCAAAGAATTTATAGACATGTTTTAAAACCCCCACAGCTCTTTCAATGCTATTCTCTATACAGATTGGGCAGTTTTTTTAAACTTTCTGTTTAAAGGAGACTTCTCACAGAAGAGACATATGGCTCACAGACTAGTCCAGCAGGCTGTTTCCATCTGTAGCTTCTTACTGCCCAGGTGGGAAGGGAGATTCCACCCCATGCAGAATTTGATTGCAGACCAATAGTTTGGCATGCTTCAGATGGTGTCCTGATCCTTTGGGTAGAATTAGTTCCCCCTCCTAAGCATTAATCTAAGTGCTGTATGCTTTTCCTTGTATGTCAATTATGGTGGTACCCTTAGCTCTCCCTCACT